ACTCTTACACACTGTTCAACAGATACATTTCCCACGTGAGCAGGGAGGAATCGATGAGCATGGACGAGGACGAGGCAGATCGCTGGCACTGTGATCGAAACGGATTCTGTCTAATAAAAAAGACCCACGTGTTTCAGCTTCAACAATTTGAGCCCTAACAGATCCAGGTTTTCCAGGAAAAACAAACAGGTAAACACAGTGACCCTTCTACACCTTGTCCATAGAGAAACTACAATTACAAATGACTTCTTCCGGAAGAGACATAAAACTCGCACCGGTCTCCAAGTGATTTTTGAGGGATAATGGAGCAATGGCCCTAAAAGCATGGTCAAGGGCATGTGTTTTATTGGGGCGACTCACCGTTCGACTCAAAATTAATGAAACTGCTACCCTCGTTACGCGGGTAGCAAATCGCTGCCCTTGTAAAAGCTGGAATAAAAGAACAATTATTCTTAAGTTTTAAGGGAAATATAATTACCTCGTCCCTGTCATCGATCAAAGACCCACCCTTTAGAAACTGCCAGTTGTAAAGGTCGGGCTTAATGGATTAGGTGGGAGAAAATTTCACGCTGTCCCACCTTCCATCCTAAGCCAAGTAAATTAGTCATTAAAAATTCCAAATGACCTTCATCAGTGCCTTTCACAGACATTTCCCGTAACCGATTTCCCCAGAAACGGCCTAAGTAGACCCCCGATTCTCCTAAACACTGCGACATCCTTAGATCGAGCAGTCTCACCTGCAGACAGGTAGGACGGTGATGGGGAAGCGGTGAATGGGACCCTTGTACAACACGCAGGATGGAAACTTGAAAGGGACTTCCTACCTTCCACCGATTTTGAAAACAGATGTGGGTTTGGGCAGAAACAGTCTCCCTTCCTGCATTTTTTTCTCTTTTAGTGATCAGATCCTGTTAATCACGGTAAACTGAAATTTTACCCAGGCCGACGGATTTCAAGGGCCTTGCCCAGAGGACAGTTTTAGCCGAAGTCTCCTCTCCGCCCCTCCAGTCCTGGAATTTCCAGCGGCCGAGGCAGTGAATAGTCGCATTGTGCAAAGGAAGGGAGCGAACATGGAACGCGGAGGCGGAGTTCACTTCGATTTCCTGCGTGGCGGCCACTCGGAGCCCTGTTTAGACCAATTACCCCAGAGATGCAGCTTCTACAGCGGAGGCTGCCACCCGCATCGCCGACTTCCAGAGCCGCCCTCGGAGATCTGAGACCCCTAAACCACCATTGTCCCAGAGCGAGTGGAAAATTTTTCCAAATCAAGAGCGAAGTCGACACCGGCACTTGGCACGTCAGCTGGAACAGCAAAACCCTGGCCGGGTCTGTGGTCCCAGGATGGGACCCCTCTTCCCGCGCACGTGGGCGCCGCAGGCGGAGCCGCCCCGCTCTCTGGCCGCTCACATTCCCGCTTCTGCACTAACCTCGGCTCTTCTCACGCTTACTCACGTGGGCCACCCATCGGCGAGGGTCACACCAAGGCCGACAGCCCCGACCCGTCTCCGGATCTCCCCGCCAGGCCAGCTGCTTCCTGGGCATCTAGGGCAGATGGCCTGTCACACGCAGAGCGTCCGACGCCCACATATTCAGGAGTCTCTCGCCACCACCACTCCTTGACCCCACGAGCCTCCTGGGCCCTGAATTCCCTACCTTGTTGACATTGTCGGCACCATCCACCCTTTTCTTCCTTTCCAATTGCAATTGACATTCAATATGATATTAGTTTCCGGCGAACGGCGTAGGGGTTCGACATTTATGTAACTTACAAAGTGATCCCCCGATAAGTCTAGTCAGTACCCACCCGGCGTCACATGATTATTACGCGACCATTGTCTAGCCTCCCCGTGCTGTGCTTCACATCCCCAGGACCATCCCGTAACGGCCGATGGGCACTTCCTAATCGCTTCCCCTTTCCCGCTCAGAACACCGTTAGCCTCTTCTCCCTGAGCCCAACTGCCCGTGACTTAGCCGTCCCCTCATGCTCCATCAGCTCTGACACCCCCTGCCCCCGCCCCCGCCCGAACCCAGAACATCTCCTGCCTGGGACGTCACGGCGGACATGACTCGCATCACGTACATCAGTAACTTAAAAATATTTGATGGGTCCTCTTTGCCTACACGATACAGGCTAAAAATAAATAAATAAGGTGACGCTCTCTTGGCTCGACATGATCTAAAGCTTTTGAGCACTTCCAGCTGTGTGAGCGTGGCTGCGCTACCTGCTGTCCTCGGGGTTGATTATATGGTCAATTGTTTCTGAAGGGAATCCCCGCTCCCCACGCATGGGGATGAGGGGGAGGGGTTTCAGGCATGGGGAGGAAACTGGACAAAATGGCCTCTATGGCCCCTCCCAAACTTGAGATTCCACGGGCAGACTTGTGCCTTAGGGACATCTGGCTGGCCGTGGAGCTTCTCCAGGGCCTCTGAGCCGTGTTGCTACTACCTGGCTTTGAGCCCCGAGCAGATAGGACTGGCGAGGATGGGGCCCGAGGTTAACTGAGACAGCGCAGCAGGAGTCGGGCACGACCTGTCATCGCGGCTCTGGAGGAGGCCCACACTCTCGCCGCGGAGGTCCACAGGCACCCTCGGTGGTGGTGCTGTCTGCAGCCCGCTGGCTCGTTCTTCCAGAAGGTCTCTGGTTTCCCTTTCGCCTACGCTAGTGTGTTTCTGGTGTTGGCAACCCCAAGTTTGACCTACACCTCTGCTCCCAAAGACCCTGAGAGGCTGAGACAGATGCCAATCTTGTGCTCGGCCCTTCTCGTGAGGCGGGACACGGAGTTCAAGTCCTGAACCAAATTCCTGTTCTTTCCTGGGGACACAGCTCGACCACAGGGCACCGGTGGCCGCTCAGGCCAGTCTGCCTGGAAGAGCCGTGACAGGACTCTGTCCTTGACCAAACTTCAGTCCCCTCCTCTGAGCCCTCTTCCCGACCAGGCCTCGTCCTGCGCAGCCCAGCTTCAGCAAAGAATCCCGCTGAGTCCAGTTTTAGAGAGAATCCTGCTAAGCCGGTTTAACGAGAATTTCCCGACCCTTGACTTCTAATTAAGTTCCCTTCCCCTACCTCTGACAGCTAATTAAGTTCTCCTTAGTACCTTTTTGTCCGCTGAGGCCCCGCCCTGCCACCTGGCCATAGTCCCCAGCCACCCGAGCTGTATTCAGAAGGGAGCTCAGTTCTGTACTGAAACCTCTCCCCGCCCACTTCAGTGCCTCAGACAGGATCTGTCTTGACATTTTTAACCGGCGTCCAGGGCCGTGTTTCTTTAAGAGGTGGAAAGGACCTTGCAAGCCGCACAGGCAGCCCCCCGAGGGGTCAGTGCTCTTGGGGAGCAGGTGCCCATCTCTGTCCTGACTCTGAATGAGTCGCCGCTCCCTGCCCCCCGCCCCGGGCCAAACAAGTCAGGCTCCTCCAAGAAGTCCTTTAGGCAGAAGGGCCTCGCTCTTGGGCTCTGTCCTTGGTTAATTTAGTCCAATTTTAGCAAGAAATCTGCTGGGTCTGATTCAAGAAAATCCTCCACCTTTGATATCTGATCCAATTCCTCATGCCCACCTGTCACCTCAATCTAACCCAAACCCCCTCACCTGACGTTTCCTCTTGGAAATTTCCATCCACCCTCCCCTACCTGCCCCACTTTTCCCTGTGCTCCCTCCCCCCGGCCCCCAGAGCACACGCGCTGTGGCCTGACCGCTACCTCCAGCCCCCCGCCACCTCCAGCCCCCCGCCAGCGAGTTCTCACTTTCTAAGCAGCAAAGTGCCTGTGAGCCGACGCCCGCGCTGGAAGGAAGAACCCATCAGGCCCGTCTGAGCTGAGCTAGTTCTCTGGAAAATAGAACCCGCACCCACATCTAGATCACCCGGGGCGGACTGTTCTCAGAGCCACTGAGGGCTCCTCTTCAAAACGTCCCCGAACTTCCTGTGAAGCGCAGGTGGCCGGTCGTGCTTCTGGAGCCTGCCGTTCACGCTGCCCGAAGCGGATTCACCTTCTTACCACGGGCAACGTCTGGGCTGTTTTTAAAGGATCCGAACTAAATATCGGCCACTGTTAAAGAATAAGCTAGAAACCACGCGTCGAGGCTCTGGCAAGGATTACCTACGAAAGTTTCTTTTAAATAATATATTTGTCTGGAGCTGACTGTGCCAGTTATGAAGAGAAATTCGGGCCCCTGATATCTTTGACACAGGCAGGTGGTAAAGGGCAATGGAAAGAGAAGCCATAGTGTGTATGATCACACACACACGCATCTGCACACACGCGCGTACACATACACGTATTTACATACACGTATTTCCATACACCGATCCATTGGCCATGATTACGAACTAAAAGGAAAGTGAAGATTCAAAAACAAAATTGGCTACATGAAAACGTCCTTTTAAAATTTAATTTTTGCCAGAGACTCTAAATCGATATATTCTATCAACCCAGTACCACCACAAAATTTGACCTAAATTCATATTTCTCTCCTGAAAAGGAGAAAAAAATGGCTTGTTTTCATACCATTGACGTTAACAAACTTAATAAAAGTTATGAACTGCAACCATCTCACCTAGTGTTTTTTTAGTTTAGTGGCTGTGAATCGAAGTTTCATAAAAAAATGACTTATGAAGGCACCGAGACCAGGCCTGTATTGAGATGGCGCCCGCTGCATTCTGGGAAGATCCCGTATCTGTCTCCTTACCCATTCCCGGCAGACCTGCACCCCACCGCCCTAACCCCCCGACACTCAGCAATCCGAAGTCATCTTGGGTTTCCAAGGGTCCACCCGAGGCAACCGATATTTTTTGCATCGTTAGCTTTTTCAGAGACTGTCAGCCTAAAAGCCTATGTGTTTAGAAATTCAAATCAGCTTCAAAATTTGTCGGAGCCACTGAGCTATCATGTCATGTTTGGGGGCTGACGAGGCTCCAAAAGCGTATTTTATCATTAATGAAAATAAAGGAGAGAGAGAAAATAAAGGCGTGAAGCGGAACGCCACCCAGTCGGAGCCCAGCGCTTTACCTGCGTGCGAAAGACGCTCATTTCTTCCCCAGGCAGAGTGATCTTTAGGGGCTGAGAAGAGCCGACTGTGGATCTGAAAGATAAACAGAAACCTTCTCAGGCTTACATTTTTATTTGCCAGATATAGAATCTTCACTAGCGTACATTCTTATTTTTTAAAAACTCAAGAAACATCCCTAGAGTCTCTCTATTCGCCCAAGAAAGAACTGCAGATTGTAATAAATGCTTATTTCCATTCTCTTCTATGGTAATTCTGCCAGTGAAGAAAACGTAGGTTTCTGATGATTTCAAAATATGCAACGAGGCAGGCCGGGAGGGAGAAAACCGTAATCGGCTAATATGGGTTTTGCTAGTAGACAGAAGAACCGCATCTAATATTTCTTTCCTATCCCATCAGAGCTCTGAATGGATTTTGAGCTAAAATTGGACATTCGATAAATATTGATAAATTGTTGAACCGCAAGCAATTGAATTTCTAAATTAGCCTTCAAGACCCAGTAAAAATAAGATTCATATATACAAAAGTATTCTGCTGTCTGCAAGTATGATTATTATGCCGACTTTCTCTGCCAAAAGGCAAAGTTCTATTTTGTAAGTTTATGCTTAAAGCATTTTGCTGTGTGTGAGACTTTGGGTTCTGATCTATAAACGTAATAATCAGACGCCGGAGCATCTCAGTCTACACTGGGTCTGCCCCCGTGCCCATCGTCCCCCCGAGTGCCCTGGGACCTCACCCCACAGCTGGAGGGTATCTCTTCCGCCCCCACCATTTCCCTCTCGGTCTGATCCAACAGGTAACACGTTCGTGGAGCTCCAGCTGCCTTGAATTCTGAACCCCAGAGAAGGCCTCAGTCCCAGGGCTGAGTTAAGCCTTTTGGTGTTCAGGTCCCATTTTTGGCCTCTTCTCTTACCCGGCATCTGGGTAACCATTTTGGGGACTGCAGAGCGGATGCTGCAAGCGAACAATTTTTCTACCCCAAGCAAGAGCCTGGCCTCCCCAGCCCATGGCAGAAGAGACAGGATGGGGGCGGGACCTGGACTGTGGCCAGGCTGAGATGGGGGGAATGAGTCCTACGGCCCTTTCTGCCCCTCCCCGGGCTTGCCCGCCCGGGTCCTAACCCGGCCATCGACTACTAGTAACACGATTATTGATTATAACAACCACAAGAAGCACTGCTGACAGCCGATGGGGTTTCACACGGGCGGTGGTCGGGCCCAGTGCCTTCCGTACATCATCTCATGGGATTCTCACGACCGTCAGAAAGATATGCTGTTTTTCGCCCCACTGCAGCAGCTCAAAAAGCCAAAGCGGAGGTTGCCCGTGGCATGTGACACAATCAGGATTCAGACCAGGGCGCGCGGACCCAAAGCGCCTGAGCTTTTAGCCAGCGTGTTCCAAATATTGTTATTATTATTTTTACTAAGTACTGTTATCTGGCTATTTGAGTCGATCCGGCTGGCTGTGAGTATAGAGTCATCATACTGACAGGCGTGCTTTCCTCAGACTTGGCATAGTCGTGCCCTAGGGAATACTGGGTGACATGTGACAACTTTTCAGGAAGGAAGCAGAAGAGCAGCATGAGACGTGGGAATAGAAGACAACTTACATCTCAAGTTCAGCCGAAAACATGAGCTATGTCTCCGCGGCTGCAAACACAACCAATCAGGCGGGTCTGGAAGCTCCGTGTGCGGCAGGGAGAGTCTGACTTAGGGATTTCAAGCTTCTGGGTTATTGTCTTGTGTGGCTCTTTTGAGAATGATTCATACGTGTCATTTCTAAAGTAGCTCTATCCACTCTAGCGAGTCAATTAACCCGGGACATGACCACACGGAATTTTTACCCCGAAAGTTCCTGATGTACCACACAATCCTCAGTGGACAAACCCCAGCCCCAGCCCCGCCACGAAGTCACAAACACTGAAGCGTGCTGGTTCCCACTGAGGGCAGTTCTCTCTCTGGGGTCCCAGCAGTTGGCCATAGATGGCAAATTGACGAGGCCCCACTGGGTTCCCCAAAAGCCGGGGACCACCCTGTCCGGGCTCTGAGCACTCCTGATCCCAAAATCCCACAAATAGGGTGACTCAGGATCTCTGTCATCAATGGCCCCGACTCTCAGTGCCATCCCAAGTGGCATCCTAGAAAGACTGGGCTTCAGATCGGCTCTCTGCCGGGTGCTCGTTATAACTCCTTCGTGCGAAAGAGCAGCACTTTTCATCGCCCTTAGGACAAAGCGGCAAAGGGCCCGCGCCGCCGGCCCCTGCTAACCTGTGGTGTCGCTGGCACGTCCCTCTGGGCTACACTCTGTGAATTCATACGGTCCCCCGCCACCCGGCCTGCGCACGCGCTGCCCCATCGGCCCACCCGTGTTCTCCTAGTCCGTCTCCAGACCTCAGTGCAAAGGACCTGCTGTGAGTCTCCGCAGACGCCACTCTCAAAACCAGCTCAAGGTCCCGATTTATAAGCTCTCGCAGACACACCCCTCCTTCTCCAGAGTGTCCCACGCGCCAGGGTTCGCAAACGCGCCTTGACCTGTGTGAATCTACAATCGGTGTCTGCTTCGCCCCAGACGACGACCCCTTTGGGATTAAAGCCATGTGGCCCGGCTTACCCACGGACACGTAGTAGGCTTTCAATAAATATTTGTTGAAAAAAAATACGGAAGAATGAATAAATAAGTAAATTCATTCGCTAATGAAAACGAAACTTCTTTCCGGGGTACGTGCCCTTGGAACCCACTGTCCCGTCTCCTCGGAGACGTCGGACCGTCACGGTCCCCGTGCCCCCAACGGCCTTCGACTTTCTTCCTTCCTCGGCACGTCGACCACATCCAAACCTTTCTGAACTTCAAAACAAAACTGAAAAACTCCCTCCCCCACACTCGTTACCTTCCCCGCTTTCGCCTCACGCTCGGCAAACCTTCCTGAAGGAGACGGCCCACTCTGCTCCAGTCCCCTGTCCCCACACGGTCCTCCCTTTACCACAGTCTAGCCTGCGCCACTGTCACCTACACACTGGCATTCACGCGGGGCTCCTATTTTGCTGAGTTCGTTTATTAGTTCTAACGGGTTTTTTCCTGGAATCCTGAGGGTTTTCTACATATAAGATTATATTATCCGTGCACAGAGATGACGTTCCTTTCCCATCTGGATGCCTTGTGTTTCTTTTTCTTGCCTAATTGCACTGGCTGGAACTTACAGTACTACGTCGAATAGAAGTGGTTAAAGCAGACACCTTTGCCTCGTTCCTGATTTAGGGGGAAAGTTTTCAGTCTGGCACTATTAAGTGTTATGTTTTTCATATATGGTTTTTATTATGTTAAGGTCGTTTCCTTCCGTTCTTAGTTTGCTGAGTGTGACATAGGTTCATCGATTTGTTTTCCATTTTCTATCGCTAGAATGTAAACTCCACACAGTAAGTTCTTTACTCATTGCTGTAACCTCACATTTAGAATAGCACCAGGTCCATAGTACGTCACTGAAATTACACACTGAACGAATGAACGAAATGACTCTGAAATCGCATGAGAAAATGCTAATGCTATGCTGTCAATGTAACAGGTAACAATCGGAGGTCTGCTCTGATTTCCACTAAGTGAGAAATAGAAATTTAAGGAATAAAGAATGGAAAAAGCGTACAAAGATGAATAAATGCAGCATTTTTTTCTGCATGGAGAAATAAAAAATAAAAGGTATGGCCACAGTTCTTAGCATTTCCTAATAAACAAAGATAAGGCCATGGTCGTTAGTGTCCCCGCTCACCGGGAGAGCTGACCAGTCCCAAGCGATTTCCTAAATATCGATCATTAAGTGATTCTCGACTCAGTCCTTTGAAGATCATGTCTCCCTTAGGTCTTCCAAGCCATCAGTGTGTTATTTAGTGACTGGCAGCAGTAATTGGGCCACACGACAGGAGGAAAGATTTAAGACCCTGTTTTTCACCTCGGTTTCCAGTGCTCTTGGGCCTGGTTCACGCCTGGGATCACACAGCCGATGTCACTGAGGTCTCAGCACATGCCAGACGACTACCTCGCTGAGCCCCCAACAACTCTGAGAGGATTATTATTCCCATTTTACAGATGTGGAACCTGAGGCACAGAGAGGTTAAGCCACTTGCCCACAGCCGCATGCAGATCTAATGAGCGAGGGAAGGAGCCCCGACTGGAACCCAGGGAATGCGCGTCCCTCCATGGGAGCAGAGAACTGGGACTGGGATCGGGCACGTGAAAGGGATCGGATACTTTGCAACCATAGGATGCAGTTCGGTGTGCAACGCTCTCATACACAAAGCCTCATTCTGATTCTCTTCCGCCCCTGAGAGGTGGCAGAACACATAAAGTCTGGTGCGTGTGTGTGTGTGTGTGTGTGTGTGTGTGTGTGTGTGTCCCAAAGAGGATAAGAGACGTAACTGCCCAAGAACGAAACGCGATGGCCCGGACACGGACACCTGCCCCCGACCCTGGTCTGGTGTCCCTCTTCCATACCACCTGCCACCTGCCACCCTACAGAGTCCAACCTTACCAGCACCGCCGCCAGCAGAAATTCTGTGGTCACACCTGACACCAGCTAGATCAACAACCTGATCTTCAAATCCCATCAGGAGCCAGAAGCTATGCCCTGGCAAGGTTTAAACATCGTAGGTACAATAATACTGGAACCTTCCATTTATATAAGACTAAATGCTTTACAAAACAACTTTTACATTCTCTTGCCGATCCTCCCAAGTCCTGTCATAATAGCTGTGCTCTAATGAGCAAATATGCTATTGTTTTTGATAGCTTTTTGTTTACTGACTCTTCCTTTAAGATATCTGAGTACTTGCTGTGGACCCATAATCCCTTATCTGCAATTCTAAAATCCATAAAGCTTTGAAATCTGAAAGTTCTTCTGAGTTTACAGAAAATGAATCTGACAGCAAAACCTTACCTGAACTAACCTGAGGCTGTTTATAATATTAATTTATGCCATTTAGCGTGAACATTCATACATTTTATTGCAAAAACATCCACGAGCTTAATTACAGGGTGCTAGTCAGAGCCCACCAAGAATGTCATGCCGTATTACCTCTCTGAAAGAA